TATAGCAGCAGAACTATAGAGATAGATCAGGATAACCTGATCCACTCTAACTAGAAGCTTTATCAAAAAGGACAGTTTTAAGCCTAGCCTTAAAAGTAGACAGGGTGTCTGCCTCACGGACTAAAATGTTCAGTTAAACTTCTGTTATGGAAGGTTTAATCCAAGGATTAACAACTTCTTGACCCTGTGAACCACAGGTTTGTCACAGGGTCAAGCTAGCACAGTTGAGATGAAGCATAAATTGACCTTCAGCCTGAAACAACCTCTCTGGAGCTCTACTTGCTGAATATAAGATATTATGGGATGTAGGATAGATGCTGCTTCTAAAGCAAATTCCCCATTGAGTCAATGAGTTGTTAGCTTTGTCGGGTTGATGATGCAAGGGATGCTTTTTAAGTGATGCTAATAGCGCAGACTTGGTGAATAGAGCGAAGCTGAAATGTGATTAGCACAAACGACACATTTATATAATTATTTAGTGTCAGTTTGACTTGCTTTAACCAATCACTGGACCTGGTGTGACGTAAGTATTCAGATCTTCACCAGATGTCAATTTGTCCTCCAGTACGGGACAGCAGGTCCTGGTACTGAGTTACTGAGTCCCTGAAAGATAGAAGAACCTCTGGAAGTGAGTGTGATTCACTCGCTGCTCCTGCTTAATTGTTTCCATAGTAACCAACAGGGTCACCCCTTCATCTAGCATCAACAATCATTTGCTTTGATTGCTCAGAGAGTCTATTTTTTAGATACTTCTTCCAGAGCTTTATTTCTGTATCTCTTCTGTCCTTCATGGTTTCATTGCAGCATGTTGATAAACTCTGTGCTGGTTTTAGTGATTAAATCGGCCATTTAACGATGTTTAAGTCTAACAGCTCTAATTGTTTCCTGTTGCTCCTCTGGCCGTTCATGTTTTCGTCCTTCAGACTTTCAGCCACTTTAATTTCTGGGTTTTTTGTCTTTGTTGTTCGTATAAAACTGTTCATGAGAAATAATTTAATGGCTTTAATGTTGGGGTGGGGTTGCATCAGGATCAGGTCAGCTCAGAGCGGCGCTGAGGGCAGCCGGGGGTCCGGCACCTCCTGGTGTTTCTGGTTGGACCACAGGCTGCAGGGATGATCTCACCAACACGACTCCTTGATGGGAAGCAGGTGTGAACACTTCCTGAGCTGCAGATTGATCTCCTGGGAAGGGGAGGAGTTAATGGCTCAGAGGTCAGAGGTCAACAGGTAGTTTAGCAGTAAAATGGAAGCAGAACCATGAGCTTCTAGATTAACTTCCTTCTTTAGTAGCTGCAGAGTCAGAGCAATGATGGGATCCATGAAAGCTGCAAGAACTCAGAAGGACAGACTGAAGCTGAACTATCTGCAGATCAGGTGACCTGCTCTCCTCACCCAGCAGGTACCACAGGGCGGGTCCAGGTTGAAACGGGAGACGGGGTCCAAAATGAAAGCCAGAACCTGTAGAACATGTGGCTAAACACATCTATGTTCTGAATCCTGTTCTAAGCTGGACTAACAATACGGCGCCAGAAAGGTTTCAGGAAGTGACTCAAACGGATCCACAAAAGTCAAGGAGCTGATAAACGGTTAAATAAAATACACGAAGGTCGAAGGTTCATGTTGGAGAGACGCAGGGAGACCTGGAGGAGACGGAACCGAAAGTACGGAAGAAAAATGAATTTCAGATTCAGAACAAACAAGTTCTGAGTCTGAGGTCTCCCTCTGATCCTCAAATGAACCGGAGGACAAAGTTCCCCTGAAATGATGAAGTTTTCTTCAAACAGCTGGTTTTGATCTTCTGAGTTCTGGTAGAACTTCAGGATCCAGAGAAGAACATCAGGCTGCAGGTTCTGGAGGAAACATTCCCAGTTCCTGTTAACATCAGCTGGACGTTCTCTATGGTCTGTTTTATCACCCAGAACAGCAGTAGAACCGGGCCCATCGACCCTGAACCTGAACCCAGCAGAACCAAGCTTCATTTCCTCATCTCAGTCACAAAGACGATGATCCAAACAGAACCAAGCCGCTGGAAGAGTCCAAACCTGCTGCTTCAGGAGAGAAAGCCTCTCAGGTCCAACCTGAGACGTTCCTCTCTGAGACGGAGGGAATGAAACACCATCAGCTACTGGTTTAGTTCAGAACCTGGTTCTGAACGAATCCTGAAGGTCCAAAAGATGGACTCAACACTCAGAACCAATCTTTGCTTGTTTTTGTTAGTAACGGTGGACCTGGAGTTGGTTCTGCTCGGTCCACATTAATCTGAAACCGGAACCGTTCAGAACCAGGAACCTCTCCTCTTCATTCCAGAACCTTCCCAGTCTGAGCTGCAGGGAAACGTGAGCTAACCTCTGCATCATACTGGGATGGAGTGAGGGAAAGTTTTCAGGAAATGATGTCACTTCCTCTGAGGTGGAAACAGGAGTCTGCAGAGGAAGTGACACATCAGGAAGGAAACGAGCAGGAAATGACATAAGATGGTTCAGCTTCATGCTGGAACAATGGGAGAGGAATCAACCGTTCCTTTGGCTTCATGATCCCATTAGCTGGAAAACTGGGTCAAAATGTGTTCAGTTTTACTCCCATGGAAGGTTTCCAGTTTTCCTGTAGATCAGGAGCTTCATCTGCTTCCTGCAGTGATGAATCTGAGGAACTTATTTGTCTCTAAATGGGTCCAGATCAGTTAAACTAGCGCAGGGTGCAGAACATAAGGAGTTTAGTTCTACAGAAAGCGGATCCAGTCAGGAAATAAGCAGAAAAACCCTGGAAAACACAACCAATCAGCAGGAGACCACAGCTGGACCACATCTGCTCTCAGAGCAAAGAACATCATAGATGTTCCTCAGCTTCAGGCTCTGATCAGCAGAAGTTTCCCTAATTTTCTGCTGGTTATCAAATGTCATTTAGGAGATGATGAGAACTTTACTCCGGAAACAGACCCATGAAAGCTCTAGAAAGAGGTGTGAGCAGATTCTAGAGGATCTGTTTCTAGATTCCTGAAGCTGTGGATCAAACCAGAACCAACAGTTAGTAGAACTTTAGGGTTTCAATGAGGAACATTTTTCCTCCTTAGTTTGATGCTTTAAATGGAGAAATAGATGCTCTGATGGTTAAAACCTGGACAGATGATGAGGATGATGATGATGATTAGTATGATGAGGATGATGATGAGGACGATTAGGATGATGATGATGATGATGAGGACAATGATGATGAGGAAGATCATGATGATGATTAGGATGATGATGATGAGGATAATGAGGATGATTAGGATGAAGATTATGATGAGGAGGAGGATGATTAGGATGAAGATT